GGCCTAAAAGGTAGGACAGCTGGAGCTTAGGGCAGAGCTTTTGGGGGAGGGGGTTGTTCCCTTTCTGGCAGCCTCTCTACCGTGCCCACCTCCAGGACTTTGCCACCAATATTCTCCTTGGGCCCCTAACCAGACTGGGGCTCTGGGCAGATATGAGCCAGGGCTCTTTGTCATGTGTACTCCTCTGTAGATGTGGAACCTCATTGTCATGCACTTGGTGAAGGGGTGGATGGATGTGGCTGCTCTGTCCTTTTCTCAATCACCTATTCTTCCAGAAGCTAATTTAGTGGTTAAAAACCAGGGCTTTTGGTCAGAGCTGGCTCTACTGCTGTGCTGGTTATCTATTGACATGTAACAAACTACCCCAAAATTTAGTGACTTAAAACAGGGCCATTTTCTTATGCTGTATCTCATGATTTTGTGGGTCCTTAATTCAGGCAGGCTTGGATGGATTGTTCTTCTGTTCCACGTGGTGTTGACAGAGGTCATTTGGTGGTATTTAGCTGGCAGATGTGCTGATCTGGAGAGTTCAAAAAGAGGTCATCACTCAAATGTGTAGTGCCTTGGCAAGGAGGCTGGAAGGCTGGAGTCAGCTGGGACTGTTGACCAGTTAGCTTACACGTGACTCCTCTAGTGTGGCAGTCTTGGAGTAGTCAGACTTCTTGCACAGTGACTCAGGGCTCCCAAAGACAGTGTTCCAAGAGACCCAGACAGAAGTTGCAAGGCATCTTATGATCCAGCCCCAGAAGTCCCAGAATACCACTTTTGCCTCAAATTCTATTGGTAAACAATCACTAGGCCAACCCACAATGAAGGCTCAGGAAGCGTTTAAGAAAACAGGCTTGCTGACTTTGTAATATGATTCTACCAGCGCCAGCTAAGTGACCTTGAGAAAGTTTACTTAAACTCTCTCTGAGTCTCAGTTTTCACATCTGTAAGATGGGAATACTAATAATAGTACCTACCTCTTATGGTTTATGAGGATTAAATGATTATGTATATCTCATATGAATGCCTGCTTTGGAAAAGCCTACTCATGATCACCGATATCTTCAGTGTCCTCTTCGTCCTGGGCACCCCTCTAGACTACATTTCCCAGCCTCCTCTGCAGTTAGCTGTGACCATGTGACTGAGTTTGGCCTACAGAACCAGAGGGGAAATGATATATCTGGTCTCTACATCCTCCAAGCTTACAGCCCCTGCCCCCTTTAACTTGTGTTGTGAGGGAGAAATAAAGCTTTGTTTGTCAGAACCGTTAGCCTGACTAATACACAGGTACATAAGCTCTCAATTAAAATTAGCTGCTATATGGCTTAACCTCTCTGCACCTGTGTTCTTGTCTGTACAATGGAGTGATAATACAACCTACCCCATAGTGTTGTGAGGATTAAATGAAACGCATAGTTTGACTTATTGGCTTTGATCACAGTTATTTCATCTAAACACTATAAACTGGGCCATCATTACCTTTTTCTTGAAGCAAGATGATCCATAATAAAGCCTCTTGAAGGCTTTAAAAGGATAACATGTGAATTTGCAGTATTTTAGGCCTGAAGCCAGCAATAATGGTACCATATTAATTCAGAACACTTCCTAAATGCAGTCCTAAAATCTATTTGCTGATGGGTTTCAAAACCTAAATATGTAGAGTAGGATGTTTCTAATTTTGAAAGTTAGTCAATTTATTTTTGATTTTTTAAATTAGGAAATATTTTAAGAACACAAAAAAATAAAAAGATATAACAAACACCTATATTTCCACAACTCATTGTGGTCAAATCTTAACTTTTTGCCATATTTGATTTGTGCTTTTTCTAAAGAAATAAAACACTATAGATGAAATTGAATAAAAGACGTGTGACGTGTCTAAAGCACTCAGCACAGTGCCTGGCATGTGCAAAGCAGTCAGTCATTGTCAGAAAATTTTTTTAACCTTTTATTTTGAAACAATTTTAGATTTACAGAAGAGTTATAAAGATAGTAGGAACATTTCTTCTACACTTTCCACCCAGCTTCCTCTACTGTTAACTTCTTACCTAACCGTGGCACATTTATCTAAGACATTAAAATTGATGTAACAGTATTAACTAAACCACAGACTTCTTTTCAGATTTCACCAGTTTTTCTACTTATGTCCATTTTCTGTTTCAGAATCCTATCCAGGATACCATGTTGCATTTAGGTCAGCTAATTTTAAATCATTCATTCATTCATTCAATACACTGAAAGTGCTGCCAACGTTTAGTTTAAGACTGGGGGTCTATGTAGCAGCTGACACCAGGTAATAATCACAGTTCTCATTTTTGAGGGCTTGCCACGTGTTGCATACAGCACTTTCTATATGCTCCACTGAATCCTTACAACAATCCTCTATGTTGGCTATTATTACTCTAAATGTTATAGATTAGGAATCTAAGGTACGGAGAGAGTAACTGAGGTCATACACCTGGTAAGGGGCAGAGGTAGGATTTGAACCCAGGTAATCTGGCTCCAAAGTCATGCTCTTAACAATACGCCACTCCTTTCATGAGGCTACTCTAGAGAAGAGGGGGAGCAGACACATCATCACAGACCTCCTGGGGCAAGTGCAGCAGGCAGGAAGGCTTCCTGGCAGAGGTGCCAGTCTGGAGCTCAACTTCTGTTTCCCTGGGTGCTCTGGAAAATATTTGGCTTTCCCACCACCTGCCTTCTTAGGGCTTCCCTCGCACTTCCCCTTGCAGCCCTAGATTCTGAGCGCAACCCTCAGAGCCCCAAGAAGGTGACGTGCTGAAACTAAAGCTCCAGGGTGAGGCTCTGTCCCAGCCTCTGGGCATCCTACTGCAGCCGGCTGGGACAGGCTGTCCACACTCATAGACCTGGATATTGATTTAGAGACTGGCTTCTGGAGCCACTATTTTGGATCCTGCTGACAGTGCATGAGCAAGAAATAGTAACAAGGGCTGAGTTCTTGGGCAGAGGAGGGATCCAAGGGAACTGAATGTTGGCAGGTTGGGCTACTGAGCGGGGACTAGCTTTGTCTGCTCTGGAGAATTATAGGCCCCACCAACCCGAGGATGAACTGAGAACAGTTTTCTGTCCCCAGATTGTCGAGGAGCCCTGTCTGGTTGGTCACAGCAGCACGAGCCCTTCTGCCATCCTTCAGCTAGGATGTATGTTTACCCTTTGGAAAAGGCCCAGAGAGTACCTGAGGCAGCCAACAGCCAGCTAGGATTAGGACCAAGTACTGCAGGGAGGAGAGCAGAGGAGCCGGCTGGGCAGTACCTGCCCTTTGAGGCGAGAGCCCAGAGATCCTGAATCCAGGAGGCAACAAGAGAGCCTCATTTCACTTCTCTGAGCCTCAGTTTGTTCATCTGTAAAATAGAGATATCAATCCCTACATCCCAGACAAGGCAGCATACGTTTGTGCAGTTTATAAATTGCAGAAGGAGTGAATGGGGGCCAACACCCAGCCTGTGCTCAGCTCGGTCAGCTGGGCACTCTGACTTGGAGCTACATCCACTTGGGAGGAAGGGACACCTTTTCCTTGACCAAGCTGGTTGCGAGGAGTGCTTCTTTTTGAAAGGCTGATTCGCTCAGAGGGGCACCTTCTTTGATTTACACAAAAGAAAAGCACTCGCCCTCTAGAAATAGACCAGATGGCAGAGAAGGGCAAAGACCCTTTAAACCCCCAGGAGAAGGCAGAGCTGGCCCCAGAGAGCCTTGGTGGGGAGTGAGGAGAGGGTTCAAAGCTAGCCCAAGAGGGACAAGATGTGCTGGGAAGAGGGTGTGAGGGTGACCAAATGGTGAGCTGCTGTGGGCAGGTGGAGCTGGGAGGAGAGGAGGTGCCCTTTGGAGGCGGGCCCAGTCCTGGGGCCAGCTGGGATCCACTCCCCGTGGTGGCCTCTGTAGAGAGGGCCAAGTGGCATGGAACCAGAGAGCTGTACCTGCGGACAGGGTCATAGCCAGAGAGGGTGGGAGCCATGGGAACTTGAGCCCAGAGAAAGCCTGGTCAGAGAGAGCCACTTGGAAGAGAATGACAAGGCATTAGACAAGTATAATTCAGAAAGACAGGTGATATCACAAGGGGTGGATGGACATTTTGGGAGCTCGAGGAGAACTGCTTCCTGAGAGGCTTGAGGAGTCCAGGAGGGATTCCCAGAACTGACATCTGAATTGAGACCTCAAGGAGACTCCAGTGAAAATGGGTGAGGGTGGTGCATTCAGGTGGTACAACCTGAAGCATCTGCAAAGTACCAGAGGTAAGAGAGTGTGGTACATTCTGGAAACTGCAAGTGGATTTGCCATTTCCTAATTACATGGTATGCATGGGAACAGAATTACAAGAGATATGGCTGGAGATATAAGCAGGTCTCAGATAAGGAAGCATCTTTATACTTTGTCAAGGTGTTGGTACTTCAGAGGTTGTAAACAGAGGAGTGACGTTTCATTTTAGCAAGATGCCTGCATACTGTGTGGAGGTTGGAGAGGCAAGGATGGAGGTAGAGAGACTGTTAGTAGGCTGTTGGAAGAATCCAAGTGAGAGGTGAGAGCAGCTTGAACTCGTGTAGTTACAACAAAGATTAAGTGAGCAGATCGGAGTGGTATTTAGGAGGTAGAATTGATAGGTACAATTGATAATTGTACAAGAGGCAGGAGTCCAGGGTGACGCCCTCACTGATGTGGGTAACAATGGCTGTCAGAACCCTTCATTAACATGGGGAACTAGGAAGAGGAGTGGGTCTGGGTAGGGGGTGATGAAAAGTTCAGCTGAGTTTGAAATTCAAGTGCAATGTTTAAATGGAGGTAGCAGTGGGATAAGTAGGTTTTGAGCTAAGGAGAGAAATTTGGGCCACCATAGGGGTCTGAGAGTCATGAGTCGAGAGATGTGAGCTAAGGCTGTGGGAGCAAGGGGATCCCCCAGGAGCGCGGAGACACTGAGGGAGAGAAGAGGCAGAGGCCAGAACCTTGACATTTAAGGGTCAGCTGGAGGAGACAAGGGTAAATAGGAGCAGCCAGAGAGGTAGGAGGAAAGACAACCCATTTAATCCTTATAAATACCTTGTACCAATTACAGGTGAGGAACCTGTGGGCTTTTTATTTTGTTTCATTTTATTAGGGTACAAGAACTAAGTAACTTAGAGCTAAATGTTTTGCTCCATCATATAACCACCCTTCACCTAAGCTTTCTGGAGTGTCTCCTCCCCAATCTCTATCCTCTTGTTTAATGCCTGTATTTTTTAGGTGTCTGTAATTTTAGTCAGTCCTTTTGAAAGTAGAGTATAAATGAAAAGACTGAATGGATTCAAGAGATGCTATTTGTGCACAGCGAGTTTTGATAGTCGGTTTTTGATAGGGAGGGCATGGAGAAGGTGGTGACACATTGAACTTTGGTCTTTATTCAGACAATGGACTCACACTCCTCTAGGCTGCCATCATGCTAAAGCAGAGTTGGCAAGCCTTCTGGATCCTCCTGGCCATCCTGGGAGTAAGCTACCGCCCCACAAACCACCAGAAGATCTCCTGTCTTTATTATGATGAACCTTTTATTATAGAGACAGACTGAACTCTCTTTTGCATAAAGAATCTCTAGACTGGGTCAGGGAAATCCACCTGCTAAAGGTCACCACCTGGCTCTCCCTGCCTCTGCCTCAGCTAAGCCCCCACTTGCTATTTACATCTCAAGGTCGCTGGAAACAGCAGAGGCTGCTATCCCCAGGGCCAGGCTGGTTGGGTCAGGCTATGCTGGACAGAGAGTTAGGGCTCCTGGCTGCCCACCAGGTCAGAGTCGCCCCGTCTCCCGCCCCAGTCGGTTGTCCAGAACCTGGAGCTGCTGGAGAAAGCCCGAGTTGGGGCAGATATCACGGTGAGCCTGAACCGTCTGGATGGCCTCCACCAGCGTCATGTTCTCGTAGATCATGAGGAAGGCCAGGACAACTGTGGCAGAGCGGCTTACCCCCATGGCGCAGTGTACCAGCACACGGCCTGTGTGGAGACCCAACCTAACGTCAGCTACCTGTCCTTGTACTGCTCACCCGTTTGGGAATCAGGGATGCTTCTGGCCATCCTTCAGCCCACCTATCACAGCATCCTGGAATACTGACACTGTCCTCACTGTCTGATGGGGCAGCTGGGGCCCAGAGAGGGAAAGGTACTGGTTCAAGGTCACCCAGCAAGTTAGTGGCAGTGCTAACATTAACGGCTGGGATTCTCTTCTCTTGGTCCAAGATGCTTTCTCTGGCATCCTTTGCAACTCTTGTGGAGTGGAGGGGGACAGTACTCCTGGAGTCCCCTGGGTTTATGATAGATTACGGGGGGTGTCCTTGTACCTCCCTTTACCCCCAGTTCTGCTCTCTCCTCTGGCCCTGCAGGCCTATACCAAGGCCTCATCTTAGAGGGGCCTGCTCAGCCTTTGCTAGGTCCTGTACTTTCTGCCCAACACCTGACCTCTTACTGAGGAATATGGTTACACTGACAACCACACTGGACTTTAGTTATGTCTGTGATTGTTGGTTTTCAGGGTGTTCCAGAAAGGGATGCTCACTAAATGGTAGTAGCTATTTGCCTCATGGGGTGAGAGGGTTGATGAAGGGGTTTGTGGTTCTGGCCACCACACCCATCAGTGCTACCAGAAAAATGGATAGCCCCAAATCCTTCTCCCACTCCCACCTCCACCCCAGTGCCTTCCACAGCAGCTCACCTTGGGGAATATTGAGGGCAGTTCGGATGTATCGAGCAACAGGCAGAAAGTAGACACTGAGGTCAAAGAAGGGGTTGTCATCGGCTTCAATGCCATAGTACTCCAAGGGCATTCCATGGTAGAACTTGGCACCTGTATCCACTTGAAACTTGCCTGCAGCGACATTCACGACATGGGTGATGCCCAGCTGGGTCAGCTTGTTCTTGTCCCGGGCTGCATACCTGGAGGGAGGGCACAGGAGGAGTTGGGAGGTTGGGGAGAGCTCAGTGGGTCAGCTCTGGCTGGGTTGGAACTTGCCTCCTTCCCTCCTCTGCCATCCCCCTCCAAGGGTGAGACTGGAACCAGTGAACTGGCATGGGGTGAAAGGGCTCCTCTAGTTGGAGTTTAAGAATCCCTTTCACTCAGGCCAACTTTTCTGGAGAGCAGTTTGGCCATATGCATCAAAAGCCTTAAAAATGTATACATGCTTCACCCCAGCAAGTTTTTGTCCAGGAACTTAATTAAAGAAAGAATCCAAAATGTGCCCACAGATATATGTAAACTGGAACTAATGATACTTAAAATAGTGAAAAATTGAGGGAAAAAAATCCCTAAATATCCTATAATAGGAGATTGAGTATGGTATAGCTAAGTGAAATACCATGCAACTACTAAAATGTGGTAGATGCATGTAGGTAAACAAGGAAAGATGTTTGTGCTATATTGAGAACCTCTGAAAAATGCAGGATACAAAACAGAACATTGTTTTAAAATGTTTTATAAATATGTTGTGTAATTCCATTAAAAAAGCTTTCTCTATAAAGCAGATTACAAAATGGGATTATAAAGTGACACTATTTTTGTAAAAAAAAATAATTGTGGAAAAGCATATGGTGTGTATGTGTGCATGCATTTTAAAAAAATTAAACAAGGGAGGATGTCAGAGTCATGGTGGAGTGAGCTTGCCTGGGACTCTCTCCCCTCAAACATACAACAAAAGAAGAGCAACCATATTCCAACAAAAAAATATCATACTAGCACAGAAATCCTTGAAGACCCACAGCAGCCAAACGACAGAGGGCAGAGAGGCTGGAGACCCCCTCAGAGGAGCTGGAACAGGGTAAGAGAGATCTTCACTCTCTCCCCTAATGACTGGGATCACTACAGTGGGAGGCTCTGTGAGGGAGGGAGTTGGGGAGGGGCTTCACATCCACAGGATCACCCAGGACTCCCACACCGTGCAGCCCAGACAGAAGCCCTCTAATGGGAGAAAGCTTTCATGTGGGGTAACCTCAACAAGCCAAGACCCCAGGAGAGCAAATAGAGCTGATCAGGAAACCAGGTCTGAGCGCAAGAGAAGGTGCCCCTCCCTCCCCCAACCCATGCTGTGCGCCGCCATCTCGGCTGAAGATGGAGGGCTCGCAATACTCAGCTCTTGAAGCCCATCTAGTGCTGATAGGCTGTAACTGCAACCGAATAATATCACCATGGGGAAGACCCTTCCTTCTTCCAGCATCCATCAATTCATCAAATCTCCAGACCAGAGGGAAAACAAGCACCCAGGGTTATGCCCTGAGGACTCAGAAATAAGTAAACTAAACAAAAATGAATTCAGAATAGCTATTGTCAAAAAACTCAAGGAGGTAAAGGAAAATATAGAGAAACAAGTTAAGGAGTTCTGGAGTTACTTCACAAAAGAGACTGAAACTATCAAGAAGAATCAATCAGAAATACTAGAGATGAAAAATAGAATGGATCAGATAAAACAGAATACTGATTCCTTGAGTGCCTGTGTGGATGCCATAGAGGAGCAAATGAGCATAATCGAAGATAGACAGGCTGAATGGGTCCAGACAGAGGAAAGGAGAGAATTAAGAATAAAAAGGAATGAAGAAAATCTCCAAGAAATAGCCAATTCAATGAGGAAATGCAATATAAGAATAATTGGAATCCCTGAGGGTGACGAGAAGGAGAATGGAGCAGAAAGTGTGCTCAAAGGAATAATAGCAGAGAATTTCCAAAATCTGGAGAATGAGAGAGAAATATGTGTGGAGGAAGCTTTCAGGTCTCCTAGATATGTCGATGTAAAAAGACCAACTGCAAGGCATATAGTAGTAAAACTGGCAAAAGTGAATGACAAAGAAAGAATACTCAGGACAGCAAGGCAGAAGAAAATAACCTACAAAGGAACCCCTACAAGACTTTCAGAGAATTTCTCTGCAGAAACCTTACAAGCTAGGAAAGATTGGAATGACATATTCACAGCTTTAAAAGATAACAATCTTCAGCCAAGAATACTCTATCCAGCAAAAATATCCTTCAGATATGAGGGATAAATTAAATCTTTCCCAGACAAACAAAAACTAAGGGAGTTCATAGCCACGAGACACCCCGTACAGGAAATCCTCAAGAAGGCCCTCATACCTGAAAAAAGAAAAAAGGGAGAAAGGGGTCACAAAACACAGAGTAAGGAGACAAATAGATAGAATCAGAATAGTATATCAAATATACAACTATAGCATTAGGATAAAGGGAATGAAAACACCAAAAACAAAGACAGTCTTATCACTTTAACCACAAACTCACAACACAAGATGGAATAAGAAATGACAAGAATAACTTAGGAGGGAAGGAGGAAAGGGACTGAATCAGTTTAGGCTAAGGAAATAAGAGGCCACCAGAAAATGGACTATGTTATACACGAGATTCTGAATACAAGCTTCAGGGTAGCCACTAACCTTAAAAACGGAACAGAGACACAAAACATAAGTAAGGAAATAAGAAACTGCAGAAGTCAATGGGTAGGCCAAAACACACAGGACAAGAAACAAAGGTAATGCAGGAAAACTGGAAAACAAGTGACAGAATGACAGCATTCAGCTCTCATGCATCAATAATCACCCTCAATGTAAACGGATTGAACTCTCCAATAAAAAGGTACAGAGTGGCGAGATGGATTAAAGAACAAGATTCAACAATCTGTTGCCTCCAGGAAATACACCTCAGCTCCAACGACAAACACAGGCTCACAGTGAAGGAGTGGAAGATGACAATCCAAGCTAATAGCAAACAAAAGAAAGCAGGTGTCACAATACTTATATCAGACAAAGTAGATTTCAAGATAAGGCAGGTAAAGAGAGACATAGAGGGTCAGTATATAATGATCAAAGGGACACTACATCAAGAAGAAATAACACTTATAAATATCTATGCACCCAACACAGGAGCACCAAAGTTCATAAAGCAACTATTAAAAAACCCAAAAGAAGATATTAAAAATAACACAATAATAGTAGGGGACCTCAACACCCCACTTACATCATTGGACAGATCATCCAGACAGAAAATCAACAAGGAAACGGTGGAATTAAATGAAAAGCTAAAACAGTTGGACTTAATAGACATATATAGAACACTCCATCCAAAAACAGCAGAATACACATTCTTCTCAAGTGCACATGGAACATTCTCAAGGATAGACCATATGTTGGGAAACAAGGCAAGCCTCTATAAATTTTAAAAAATTGAAATAATAACAAGAATCTTCTCCAATCATAATGCTATAAAGCTAGAAATTAATTACAAGGAAAAAGCTGAGAAAGGGACAAAGATGTGGAGACTAAACAATATGCTACTGAACAAGCAATGGATCATTGAAGAAATTAAAGAAGAAATCAAAAAATATCTGGAGACAAATTAAAATGATAACATGTCATACCAACTCAATTGGGATACAGCAAAATCTGTATTAAGAGGGAAATTCATCACAATACAGGCACACCTTAACAAACAAGAAAAGTCCCAAATAAGCAACATCAAATTACACCTAACTGAATTAGAGAAAGAAGAACAAACAAAGCCCAAAGTCAGCAGAAGGAGAGAAATAATAAAAATCAGAGCAGAAATAAATGCTATTGAAACAAAAAAGGCAGTAGAAAAGATCAATGAAACAAAGAGCTGGTTCTTTGAGAAGATAAGTAAAATGGACAAACCCCTAGCCAGTCTTACAAAGAAAAAAAGAGAGAAAGCTCAAATAAACAAATTAGAAATGAAAGAGGAGAAATAACAACAGACTCCACAGAAATACAACGGATTATAAGAGAATACTATGAAAAACTATATGCCAACAAAATGGATAACCTAGAGGAAATGGATAAATTCTTAGACTTTTACAATCTCACAAAGCTAAGTCAAGAAGAAGCAGTCTGAATGCACCAATCACAAGGAAGGAGACTGAAACAGCAATCAAAAGCACCCCAAAAAATAAAACCCCAGGACCAGACGGCTTTCCTGGGGAATTCTACCAAACTTTCAAAGAGGATTTAATACCTATACTTTTCAAGCCATTGCAAAAAATTAGGGAGGATGGAACACTTTGTAACACATTTTACGAGGCCAACATCACCCTGATACCAAAGCCTGACAAGGACAGCACGAAAAAGGAGAACTACAGGCCAATATCGCTGATGAACACAGATGCAAAAATTCTCAACAAAATTTTGGCAACCCGAATTCAGCAATACATCAAAAGGATCATATATCATGATCAAGTGGGATTCATACCAGGGACTCAGGGATGGTTCAACATCCGCAAATCAATCAACGTGATACACCACATCAACAAATTGAGGAATAAAAACCACATGATCATCTCAATGGATGCAGAGAAAGTATTTGACAAGATCCAACAGCCATTTATGATAAAAACTCTGAACAAAATGGGGATAGAAGGAAATTTCCTCAACATAATAAAGGCCATATATATAACACACCCACAGCCAACATCATACTCAATGGGCAAAAACTGAGTGCTATCCCCCTGAAAACAGGAACGAGACAACGATGCCCTCTATCATCACTCTTATTCAACATAGTACTGGAGGTTTTGACCAGAGCAATTAGGCAAGAGAAAGGAATAAAAGGAATCCAAATAGGAAGGGAAGAAGTCAAACTCTTGCTGTTTGCAGATGACATGATCTTATATATAGAAAACCCCAAAGAATCCATTGGAAAACTTTTAGAAATAATCAACAACTACAGCAAAGTGTCAGGATATAAAATCAACTTACATAAATCAGTAGCATTTCTATACTCTAATAACGAACTAACAAAAAAAGAACTCAAGAACACAATACCATTCACAATTGCAACAAAAAGAATAAAATACCTCAGGGTGAATTTAACTAAGGAAGCGAAGGACCTACACAACGAAAACTACAAGGCTTTCCTGAAAGAAATGGATGAGGACATAAAAAGATGGAAAGACATTCCATGTACATGAATTGGAAGAATAAACATAGTTAAAATGTCCATACTACCTAAAGCAATCTACAGATTCAATGCAATCCCAATCAGAATCCCAATGACATTCTTTACAGAAATAGAACAAAGAATCCTAAAATTCATATGGGGCAACAAAAGACCCCAAATTGCTAAAGCAATCCTGAGAAAAAAGAACAAAACTGGAGGCATCACAATCCCTGACTTCAAAACATACTACAAAGCTACAGTAATCAAAACAGCATGATACTGGTACAAAAACAGGTGCACAGATCAATGGAACAGAATTGAAAGCCCAGAAATAAAACCACACATCTATGGACAGCTAATCTTCAACAAAGGAGCTGAGGGCCTACAATGGAGAAAAGAAAGTCTTTTCAACAAATGGTGCTGGGAAAACTGGAAAGCCACACGTAAAAGAATGAAAATTGACCATCCTTTTTCACCACTCACAAAAATAAACTCAAAGTGGATCAAAGACCTAAAGGTGAGACATAAGGCTTCTAGAGGAAAATGTAGGCAGTACACTCTTTGACATCAGTATTAAAAGGATCTTTTTGGACACCCTGTCTTCTCAGACAAGGGAAACAATAGAAAGAATAAACAAATGAGACCTGATTAAACTAAAGATCTTCTTCAAGGCAAGGGAAAACAGGATTGAAACAAAAAAACAACCCACTAATTGGGAAAAAATATTTGCAAGTCATATATCTGACAACGGGTTAATCTCCATAATATATAAATAACTCACACAACTCAACAACAAAAACTCAAACAACCTGATCAAAAAATGGGCAGGGCACATGAACAGACATTTCTCCAAAGAAGACATACAGATGGCCAATAGGCACATGCAAAGATGTTCATCATCACTGATCATCAGGGAAATGCAAACCAAAACTACACTAAGATATCACCTTACACCCATTAGAATGGCAAAAATAACCAAAATAAAAAGTAACAAGTGTTGGAGAGGTTGTGGAGAAAAAGGATCCCTCATACACTGCTGGTGGGAGTGCAAACTGACTCAGGCATCCCACAACTGGGTATCTATCCAAAGAACTTGAAGTCAGCAATTCCAAAAGTTCCATGCACCCCTATGTTCATTGCAGTATTATTTACAATAGCCAAGACATGGAAGCAACCTACATGCCCATCAACTGATGATTGGATAAAGAAGATATGGTATGTATATACAATGGAATATTACCCAGCCATAAAAAAGAATAAAATCGTCCCATTCACAACAACATGCATGGACCTTGAGGGAATTATGTTAAGTGAAATAAGCCAGATAGAGAAGGACAATCTCTGTATGACTCCACTCATATGAGGAATTTAAACATGTGGAGAAAGAGAACAGATTAGTGGCTACCAGGGGAAAGGGGGGGGCGGTGGGGCGTGGGCACAAAGGGTGAAGGGGTGCACCTACAACACGACTGACAAACAATAAAGTACAACTGAAATTTCACAAGGTTGTAAACTATCATAAACTCAATAAAAAAATGTACTGTACTACGTACTTTACACTTTAAAAATGGTTAAAAAAACAATTAAACAAGGACTTTTATTACTGGTTATCTGTGTGTGGGGGGAGAACAGCATATTTGCCATATGGTTACCAAGATATTGATCCATATTTTCTAAATATTAAGGAAAATTTCTAAAATCCACATATATTGATTCATATGTTCTAAATTTTAAGAAAACTTTTAGGGAAAATGACTCACAATTCTACTCTCTATATATACACCCTAAAGTAACTCTTGGGTATGTACCCAGGACACATGTACTAGAATGTTCCTAGGATCACTGTTTATAATAGCCAAAGAATGGAAGCAACTCAAATGTCCATATACAATAGAATGGATAAACTATGGTGTATTCATACAATCAAGTAGTATACAGCAATGAAAAATGAATGAACTGCAGCTACACATAATAACATGGGTGAATCTTACAATTTTGAGCAAATGATGCCAGGCACAAAACACACACAATATGATTCCATTTATATACCTTTTAAAGACAGGCAAAACTAACTACATTGTAGGTACATACACAGTAAAACTATAAAGAAAAGCAAGAAAATATTTATTTCAACACTTAGATAGTGGTTATCCAGAGGGTTATGATGAGAAGGGTTCAGCGGGGGCTTCTGAGCACAAATAACGTCCTTTTTCTTGACATAGGTGGTGAAATAGTTCGTATATACTCTATGCACTTTTCTTACATGTGTTGTATTTCCATAGTTAAAAGAATAATATAAAAGGAAAGAAACATATGGAATGAGATGGTGGGAGAAAAAGAGGGTGCCACCTCTGCCCCTAGGGGGCTCCGGGAAAAGCTCCCCTTCTGCTCCCTTCACCTCTCACCATGGGTTGTACTTACGCATCTCCCAGGAAGAGATTGGGCCAGACTTCATTGATGTGGCTCAGCGTGGCGGCCCGATGGACCCATAGCAAGCGCTGCAGCGAGGCCAGCGTGGGTGGCTGATATGGAGGCACCCGGACTGCTCCATGGATCTTGGGCCTCCGGAGGTCCTGCTTCTGCAGTGAGTCCATCCTGGAACAGAGTGGACACCGCAGTGGCTGGGGCAGGCTCTCCACAGGTGGGTCCAGCTGAGGGGGAGGCCTAGGCATGGTAGAGTGCCCAGGTGCCCCAGGGAAGGGCCTCACCTATTTTAGATGAGGTTATTTACCAGCTCAGCCGGGCTGAGGCCCAGACCCTTTCCCCAGGGAACAAGGGAAGCCCTCTGGCCCTGTCCAGAGTCCCCTGATGTTGGAAGCTCTGGCCAAGGGGCCCCTGGAGTTCCCTTTGTGGCAACTGGTCAGTGCAAACCCCACCCCTTAAGTCGCTGGTCACTTGGGACTTCGTAGGGATGGAGACCCCAGATGGCTGTGGCCCTCAGATGGCATGTAGGAAGGCCCCCACAATCTGGGCAGCTCCTCTCAAGCCCCCTCCTCTGCTACTTCCAGGCTGCTCCTCAGGCCCCCATCCCCTCCCAGTTTCAGGTGCTTTGAGGGCAGAGTCCATCTCTGGAGTGAGGTGCTTGGGCTATGAACTGACGATTATTAGTATTTCCATACTAAAGGAGCTAATGCCTCTTCTGGGCCTGGTGCCTCATTTGTGGTAGGTCCCTATTTTACACAGGAGGAAGCTGAAGCTCAGAGAGAATTTTTTAAAGTGATGCCTAAAGCCATTTGGGATTTTAATCCAGTTCTGTGCTCCTTTAGTTCCATCCCCAAGCCTTCCAGTTACCATCTTTGAGGACTCCAGAGAGTGGTCACTAACTTATCCATCTCTATAGGGGAGACTTGGTGTTGCTGTTACATAACTGCCTATAGGCCCTGGGATTTTCTTCCTTACCCCCGTGACTCAGGCCAGCGCTGCGGGTCAGGCCTCACCCAGGTGAGGTGGGTTCTGTCAGGAGTCAGCTGACTGAGGAAGTCCGGGACCCTGCAGAGCTGGGATGTCAGTGGCACCAGAACCTGGGTCTGGTGCCGTGCTGGGAAGGAGTGCTTATCTTGGCTAACTGTCTCTGGCCCCTTCAACCAGTAGCTAGGGAAGGTACAAACTGGGAAGAACGTCTTTCCTCTCTGGTAGGCGATGCCAGGACCGGGAAGGGAAACGGGCACCCAGGAGGCCACTGGCTTGGCCAAGCTCACCCAGCGGGCAGCCGGTGGGCAGGGTGGAAGTGAAGACCCGGATTTTCCCCTCATCCCTCACTGTGACCTCTCAGGGCAGGCTGAGTGGCCTGCCACCTACCTAGGGCATGGTCTGGGACCGGGAGTGGGGGAATAGGTGCAGGGACAGGACTCAGCAGGTGAGCGGAACAGGGCTGGGCAGGTTCTGCCCAGAACACAAACGCTGTGAAGCGGCTAGAATTCCAAGTCCTTCCCTGGAGCCCACGGGGGTGGGGCCTGAGAGCAGACCTAGGCTGCTATGGACAGACGTGTGGTCCTTCCAAACCCCAGGCCCCCTCTCTGCTTGGTGTCTCTGGGATTAAAGGCTCTTGGCCTTGGAACTCCCACGAAGATGGGAGGCTACCTGAGTGATGGAAAGAGAACTTTAGAAAGAGGGAGGAGAGCCTGGCCACAACTCTTTCTGTGTCTTGGAGGAAATCTTTGCTCCTGTCTGGGTCATAATTTCTCTTTCTCATGTTGAAGATCCTGGCCTTCCCTGACTTTCAGGATTCTCTGGGGGTCTGATCTGAGAATGAGAGAGGAGTGGCTGGGAATGCAGTAACTACAGGGCAGAGAGCAATGTAGTGTGTTGGGGTGGGAGAAGCCCCCAGGCACCAAGGTTGTCCAATGGCCATACTGGTCTGGAGCTGCCAGCTGGTGCTTCCTGAGCCTCAGGCAGGACCAGATGGGGCTCTGGGAAGCCTGGCAGGCGCTGGCTCAGGCCTCTGAACTTGGTGTGGGGTGAGGCTGCCGCCTAGTGGTTAGTCAGTGCCTCACAGCCCAGTTGTGTCAATGAGCAGGCAGCCAGGCTCCAGCTGAGACAGAGCTAGACCCTGATCCTTCTAGAGGCTCCTGGGGGGAGGAGGAGCCAGCAAAGGGACTGCTAGGCCACAGCCCACTCCTCAGCCTCCTAGGGGCCCTAGGCCAGATCTGGAGATAGGGGCTTTTCCTTGGACTTAGGGATACTCCTTGTCAGGTCCCACCCAGGGCCTCACTCCTGGTGCTCATGGATGTACCCCCCTTGTCTGCTCTATCCCACTGGGGGTCCAGCCTGCCTTGCCAGCCAGAGTGAGGCCCAGCCCCCTACCCAGTGACTCATCCTTCAAGCTCCAGGCACATCCAAGGAAGGGGAGTGGGTGGCTGCAGCAGCTCCTCTGGTTTCTGCAGCCCCTACAACTAGAACTGCCAAGGACCCTGCCTGACACTTCCTCCCACATCTCCTCTGCCACCACAGGGTGAAGCAAGGGCCCAATGTCCAGTGGAGACAGGGCCCGGCCTGGATCTTCTCCCCTTTCCCTCTAGCCTTCATTCTGCCTCCTTCCTGCCTCTCCCGCGAAGCTGAACAGCTGCCTCTGTAGGCAGTGGTTTTCCCGCTCTTGTGTTGCTGCTATTGATAAATGCAGACACCTGTTTTCTGTGTTTTTGTATCTTTCCTCCTCTCTATGTTGCTCTCCCCAGTTGCCTCTATCTCCCAACCTCTCACAGGAGCTCGTGCTCTTCCACAGCCTCCTGGCAAACCACCCTGCATGCCGGCAGCTCAGGCCAAGGCACAAGGCTCCTCAGGGCAGGGGGGCAGATGTTTGCCATCCACCTTCTCAGCTGCAGCTCCAGAGATGTTCCCCTTGGTCTTCCCTCCTGCCCATTCTTTCTGCTTCCTCCTCCCAAGGCAGAGCAGGCAGGACTGTGGCCACAGGACAGGTGAGGCCAGAGATCTTAGGGCAGGACAAGTGAGGAGTCTGGTGAAGGAAGCCTTGGGAGGAAGGCAGGTGGGCTGCTAATGGTGAGCTGCCAGTGGGTCTGTGCACTCAGCATGCAGGCCTTGGAGGAGAGCAGACCTGGAGGAGGTCTTGGGTCTGGCACTTGTTTGCTGACATTTCCTCCTCTGTCCACCAATAATTATTATTATATTTCACCAATTACTAAGGATGTATTACGTATCAGACAGCTAAGTGCTTACATTTTCTCAATGAATCTTCACAGTACCATTATGAGCCAGGTAATATTATCATCCCTATTTTACAGATTAGGAAACTGAGGCTCAGAGAGATTAAGCAATATGCCCAAGGTCACACAACCAATAAGCATAGGAGCCAGGGTTCAAGCCCAGATCTTTCTGACTCTACAGTGCTTTGTCTGTGCCTCTATGTCTGACCCCGACAGACAGACTAGTCCCCCAGTCTAACCAAATCTCCCCCACAACACACACTGACACAGGTGCCCTGGCCCTCATTACCCAGCATGCTCTGTAGCCCCCCTGAAATAGGGGCACTCACCCACCTGTAGGGGTATCTGGCCCAGGCTGTAGTCTTCTCTGACGGGCACTTTGTGCTGCCGGCTTCCAGCCGCCTGTCTCCGCACACTTGATGCTGTTTCTATTTTTTGATTTGAGTTTAATTATAAAGTATGATGTGCTGCTCCCCTCTTCTGGCCTCCCTCTGCCACTCCCAACTCACCCACTGGTCCCATGGCATAGCAAGCCCAGCTGGGCACTTGGCTCTGCTGGGAGCAGAGGCAGCCTGGCAGGGGTCTGCCTGTAGTACATGTATATGTGAATGTTGATTGTGGGGCAGGGAGAAGGAAGATAGAATAAGCCATTTTAAAAGCTCCCTTGGCCTTTAAGGGTGGTGTGGACCATGGGCAGAAAGTTAAAGCTAGAAGGCTTTTTCCATGGAGGAGGACAGGGAAGAGACTAGCCCAAATCACAAACATCAGAACCCAGATCCAGGGGCCCTTAGTTGGGAGATGAGGATTACAGCACTGGCCCAAGATTAAGAACTAGAACACTCAAGCTGAGGAAAGTGCAGGCAGGCAAACAGACAAAGGTGTAAGTAGGGTTCAGAGCAGGTCTTTAGCCCAGCCCTGGCCTGCAGCCAGAAGCTGTGTATCCAGAAGCCACTCTGCCCTCTGCTGAGCTCCTCTCTCCCCCAGAAGGCATTTCTGGCTCAGGCCCCACTGTCTTCTGAGGCCAGCAAGATGGGCTTTAAGGTCCCTCCTAAGGCTAACTGTGGTCGGTTAGGGACCTTGGATTTGGGCCTGTTAAGAACCCTCCCTGCTATCCAGAGACCCTCCTCACATACCCATACTTCAGTACTCTTCCCCACTCACACTCCCAGAGAACTGAAGCACACAGAGACACGTGCATACCCACAGCCACCCCAACACTGGGTCTCTGAATTCTGAGCTCCAGGGAGCTTGAGATGAGCCCCTGCTGGGGCTCCCTGAGCCCTGGGGAGAGATGGTGGAAGCAGGTGTGGCCAAGAGCTATCATGAACACTTAGAATCCCCTCCTGCTCTCCTCCTATCCTCCCCAACAAGGGGACTTGGGGTCCCTGGCTGAGAAGTCTCAGGTCTTGGCTGAGAGGGCAGCCCATTCCCACCTGTGGGGACCAAAGACAGTGGCTGAGAGGGAGTGCAGGCAGCTGGAGGAAGCAGATGGATTAGCAAGCTCCAGGGCAGGCCCCACTCTGGGCTCTTACCATCTTCTGGGTATCCACCTGGGCCAGAGCCTGCAGCAGCACCAGCAGCGCCAGTGCCAGGGTAGCAAAATGGCAGAACCCTGTGGCAGGGTATAGGGACCAGCTCTGGAGGAGAGATGAGCTCCACGTTACAAGCAGGTAAACCAAGGCCCAGACTGTCTGGGACTCATCGGGGCAGAAGCAAGAGCTGCCACCTAAATCTGCTTCTGCATTGAGCCTTCTGTGTAAGGTCAAGTGGGTATGGGTGCTGGGAGAGATGAGGAGGCAGGTTTGGGGCCCAGGGCTCATGGAGAGAAATGATTGTCCCCATGGCCCCCTCATCTTTCAGAGTCCCTAGCCCCAGGGCTGCTGTGTACAGCTGCACAAGCTGCACACTGCACAACTCCTGGGGGCTCCAGTTGCACAGACTATTTGGTAGATGGCACCCCCAGGAAGTGTGCAGTGCTGTAGCCCAACTGACTCCCCCAAAGCTAGCTGCCTGATGGGAAAGATGCTGAGGTTGGAGGTCAGGGTATAAGGGCCCCAGGCCAAGGAAGTGGGGTAACTGGGCATGATCAGAGATCTGCTGCTCTGCCAGGTTCCCAATACCTGTGTAGAGGAAAGAGAGTAGGATGGGAACATGCCATTCTTGCCCTCCTCTTGGCTCCCCATACCTGCAGAACTCCCCACAAGTTTCCCACCCAGCTCAGCCAAGGCCTAATCCCAACCCCAGCTATAACCCTAATTTTCTTCCATTACACTCACCCCCAAACTCTCAACCCTCTGTCCTAGCCTAATCCCCATCCACCAAATGCTCATCCTCCTGATAGCCTGTGGGAAGGGGTCGATATTACTAAAATGCTCCCCTTTGGTTGGGCTGGTATGCATTCGGAGACAAAAACAGTTCCTGTGGGTAGGGGGCAGGAGGAGATTCTGGCCATGCCCTGGAAACTCTTGGCAGGAGGAGAAAGCTGCTGCTCTCCCAATTCCCAGGAAATCCTAGGGCAGTCACCCACCCAGAGCAGGCAGCCCCTCTGAGTCAGTGGGTGGGAGCACACCCGAAGTGAGAGGAGGGAAGGAGTAGGAGCTGGAAGCAGGGTAGGGGGAGCAGAGTGCAGCCCTGGAGTCCTAACCCCCAGCTGATCGCCCTCGGGGGCGGGTGGGGGTGGATATGAATATGAGGAAGGCAGGCTGTTGAAGCCAGACAGGGATAGACCCAGCCTGGGCATGGTGGGAGAAGAAGAGCAGTGGGCACACTGCAGCTCCCTCACCATCCTGGTGTCTCCACAACCACTCCACCCTGGGAAGAGACACCTCTGCCTCCTCCCCGCTGAGCTGGAGGAAAACACCGGGCTGATGCTGAAGACACTGAAGCAGCACCTGGCAAGCATTTGCGAGCTGGGAGCCTGAGAAGTAGTGTTGCTGCTAGCGGAGCCCAACTCCTTCTACTGGGCAGCTGCGGACACTGGAACCTCCAGCAGGAGGGAGGAGGCTTGAGAGAGGAGGTACTGGGGATCTGTTCCCCTTGTGCATCTTAAGGACCGTCTGCTATTGCTCCAAATGCACTGAACACAGAACAAGAAGGCAGGGAGTAAATGGAAGCAGGAAGGAGTCTGGATAAACTTCGTGAAGACCTTTTTGTCCTAAAGGGGTCACCAGAACCAGAGAGGGAGGGAGGTTAGGGAGGGTCCTTCTGTAGAACTCTGAGCTCAGATTGGGGGAGGGGGCAGGTAGGGACCAGGGTCTAGGTCCAAGGCAGAGAACTGAATAGCCTGATGACAGGAGAACTTTGTATCGAGCAACGTTTGTGTGAGGAGGTCCTGGCTGGGGGTAGGAGCACCTTTCTCCTTCCTCATGGTGGGAATGGTGAGGCAGGGCTGACATGAGAATTAACTAAGCCTGGATTCATAGCTTCAGCCACACTTCCTCCCCACAGCTGTAGCTGGGGTCCAGACCTGAGGGGAAGGGATGCAGGGGTCTAGACAGCCCTCAGGTGCCAGGATTGGCTGTGCTGCTGCCTTGGTGGGGTTCAGGTGAGCCCCAAAGGCTTTCAGCCAAGGAGGCAGGGCATGTCAGCATCAGGACCAGGGAGGAAGGCCTCACCTCTTCTATTCCATGCTTTCTACCCCTTTCCTCCCTAGCCTTTCCATCTTCTCTGGGGTCTGAAGAATCTGGGTGGGCTAGGAGAGAGGATCCTACTGGAGGTTGCCTCAGCGAGGCCCTGTTGAGACCTTGGGTTGGTGAGGGGAGCCCAGCAGCTTGGGGAGTGGGCCAGGCCGCCTTCAATCCTGACTTCAGGCCACACGTAGCCCCGACAACCAACCTCAGAACTGGTTCCATCCATGTCCCCTGCCAGCCCTCACCTGAACCCTTTCTTCCAATTGTGGCCTTGCCCCTGGCCAGCCCCTCACCTGACCTTTCACTTCCAGCTCTCATTGGCCTCCCCCTCCATTCTCCTTCCCCAGGCCCTCACCCGACCTCACTTCTAACTGCACTCAGCCCTTCCCCCTGCCTCCTCACATCCTGTCCAGCCCTTACCTGGCCCCTCAGCTCTGGCCTGCACCCCGCAGCTTCTGGTCCAGCTGGCAGAGCTGGCGGAGGAAGCCTCGGTTGGGAAAGATCCATCGGCGCTGCCTCACGGTGATCACTGCCTGCCGCAGGGACAGGTGCTGGCGCAGCATGAGGTAGGCCAGGACCAGTGTGGCAGAGCGGCTCACACCTACCACACAGTGCACCAGGACCTTGGCTGAGGAAGACATCCTGGTTAAAGACCCTTTCCCACCAGCTGGCCCAGGGGCTGCGGTGGACACCCAAGTTCCTCACCCTGCTCTTCCTGAGGTGAATCTGTGACCCTGGGCAAGTCATTCAGCCTTTATGGACCTCAGTTTCCTGATCTGTCAAATGGGTAGACCAATACTTGTTTTGCTTACCCTTGGGATGGGGTCCAAACTCCTTAACATGGCTTATAAGACCCTCTGTGAGCTGGCCCCTGCTGAACCTGCAGCCTCGTCTCAGGCCATCCCACCCCAACTCTCAGCTCTAGGAACACTGGGTAACTTTCAGTTCCTTGAAGCTGTCATAATCCCTGGCCTCCAGCATTAGCACATGCTATTTCAACTACCTGTAAGACTCTTCCCTGTTGTTGATCTGACTAACTTCTACTAGTCATCCATCAGGTTTTGGCTGAGGCGTGGCTTCCATGCAGAAGCTTTCCTGACCACTCATGGTATCACTTGAACCACAGAGCAGTTCGTCCTTTTCTGTATGTGCCATGTTGTAGAGGGAAGTCCTCTTGCTTCCCTGATCCTCTGAGCACTCCTACCCTGTGTTCCTGTAGCTCTTCACTTTTGTCCACTCATACGAGTAGCACTCATAATACTTCCCATTTTGGCTGTCTTTCCATGAGGACAAGGACCCTGCCATGTCTAAGTGTGGATTCCCAGTATCTAGCTCTGTGCCTGGCACACAGAAGATAATAACTAGCTGGTGAATGAATGGATGAAGAACAAATGATGTCAAAGTGCTTTGGATATTAAAAAGTGTTATGAGCCATAGTTTTGTCTTTCCCATCACATAGATGAGAAACTGAAATCCAGAGAGGGACAGTGGCTTGCCCAGGGTCAGGTAGCAAAGGCAGAGCTCTCAGCCAGGATGAGCACAAAGCAGGGGCTCCCTCTTTCCCAAGCTCCTTTGTTGGAAAGGGGCTGGATGTTAGCTGAGCCGTGGGGTCCAGGAAGGTGGCTTTGCTTGGCCCCCTGCTTCAGAGGGATGGAG